TGTATTAATTATAGTGTCTTACAGCCATTTACATCCTCATATTCAGAGTGATTTCAGCTAGACAACACTCAGTATTTCTTGTTTTCTGGCTTCTGACTCTTTGTCCTCTGAGGGAAAAATGGCTCATGTTTGAATCTTTGCCCCAGGTTTTCCTGCATTTGAGACATGTTTAAACCTTGTTTTACCCTGAAGGGATCGCTTTCATGGACACACTTCATAAACCTTTTGTCCATCCTCCAGTTGCCTTTCTGTCTTGGCAATAACTGCTGGACTTCTTCCTGCTTTCAGCTGCAAAACAGCATGTCAAGGGCTCAGTGTAACGTTTCTTTAACAACCCCATTTTTGATTCAGCACAAAGTGAGGTGTTGATATTGTAAGGTCCATTGAAGAGCATGTTTGAGATAAATTCAGCACGCTGATGTTCAGACAGCGTCCCACAGCAGCTCTGAGCTCCACAGGCTGTGAAGATCATTGAGTTTAGTGTAATCAGCACCTGCTGGCTGCTCGTACACTCGTGAACGCTGAACGGCGGGGATCTCGCAGGATTGAGAAAATACCCGTGTTTATGTAGTTAGACCTGGCCACATGAACTGTGTTGTTAGTTCACTTCAAACCGACATCTGATCATCTGGTGTTTTTTGGAGATTTATCAGTTTTTCCTTCATCCTTCACACATTTTCAGGTACAGCCGTGTCACATTAGACAACAAACTCAAACGCCTCCATGTGTATCGCTGCAGGGATTTTCACTCCGACATCCCTGTAGAATCTCCTCCTGTGTGTGTTAGTCGTCTGACTTCTCATCACCTCCTGCCTGTGTCTCAACTGTTCTCTTTAAATAGTGTAAAGATGTTTAAATGGTACTAGCATCTATAAATATCGGAATGAAGGGGAGGTAAACAGATGGGACATTATAGACTCATTATACATTGCTACTGCATGAACGGCTGCTAATGAGAGTAAAAAGTTGTGATAGAAATGCAGGAGCAGAAAACCCTTCTCCCCCGTCTGCTGGTCATGCTGTGGGTGGTCAAAGCCAAATCTCCCTGTGAGTCGGGCTTTAATGTTCATTAATGCAGCTTTCTGGAATGCAGCTCACCGCTTTTCTTGCTTTTTAACTTTAATAGAAAACTTCCAAGGCTGTTTGTAGTTTAGACTTATAATGATATTCAGACTCAGATGTGATTCTGATGTGGTAAATGTGTAGATTATTAATGATTCACTTAAAATTCACCAATCCAACTACATGTAAGATGAATTTGACCGCTTTTTATTATTTCCTTGTTGTCTAAATTGGTTCACGCTGTCAATTTGTTGACTAATGCTGTCACAGATGGGTTTAATGTTTACAGCTGTGACAGAGATATCATTATTTCTGTGTAGTAATTCTGGTGTGATTTATTATATGTCGACATTTGATGGAATTTAGTTGCTGTGGTTCAAAAAGCTGTAAAATTTTTTGTCCATCTTCACACCAGGAAGCTCATTAGTGTGATAAAAATGCACAGCGATGAGTTCAGATATGGCAGTCAGAGCTAATTTGAATTCAGGAAAGTCATGTGACAGCCAGTTTAATGAAGTCCAGACTCCTGAGATACTTAAATAGCATAAATTGTTCCAGACATTTTTCTCACCTTACCTCTCTCTCATGTTCTCATTGCTGGTGTTATTCTGCAGGTTTCTCGCGGTGACGCAGTTCTCACCGACTCACGCTAGAAAGGCCTTCCCGTGTTTCGACGAGCCCATCTATAAAGCCACATTCAGAGTGAGTCTGAAACACGAGAGCTCGTATCAGTCGCTGTCTAACATGCCAGTGGAGGCCTCGACGTCTGACGAGGACGGATGGGTGACCAACCATTTCTCCAGGACGCCCCGCATGTCCACGTACTACCTGGCCTGGGCCGTGTGCAACTTCACCTACAGAGAAGCAGTAACAGACAGTGGAGTTGTGGTGAGTCGCATTTAAAGCCCCTAAAACTCAAAGTTAGAAACAGTAAACTGAGATGTTATTATTCCACAACTCTTTTCTAAAACCTTGTGGACAGCATTTTGAGGCATCGCAGGTGCTTTTCCAGAAGGTGTTCTGCCTTTAAGATTCCTCATTTGCCAAATTCTAAGGCAGCCTCTCATGTATGCTTCAGAGCAAAGACAATCCCAGAATGCATTGCACAGAGTTCAGTAATAAATCAATCCAAAACAGTAAATAAGCTGAGAGAAATCAATATATACTTACAGAATAAGAATACACGCTACCCAAAGTTTGGGTTCAGTAAGCAAAACTTTACCAAAACATTACAAAATCTTACTGACCCCACACTTTTGGTAGTGTATGAGTGCATACTGTATATTTAATTAAATTCTGAAAAGTATTGATTAAATAGTTTAATCTAATTAAACATGTATAATCCAATATTTGCATAAACTATGTAATTTAATGCTCATAAACGTATTTTAATGTTCACAATTGTGAGATGAGTGTCATGTGTAGAGCGCTGTAGTTTATATACTGTAGTTTAGGTTCCCTTAGAAGGCATCTGCCAAGACAGCAGGTTCGGAACAGAGCTTTTATCTTGCTCACAGTGGATATGTTTATATGAAGCTTACTGTAAGTTTATATAGTCAATATAATGGTTACACAGTGGATGTGCTGTAAATGGAAAGGGTTGTCTCCACTAACATTAGTCCAGTGTCTACAACGTCATATAATTGCTTTTAAAAGGATAGTAGTCATGTGCAACAAGCATTCACTTATGCTCATGTCCAGGATTGTGTTCATGACAAACTCTTCTAGGTTTTATATATCATATGAACATGTTTTATGTGAATTATAGCCATTAAGATAATATTTGCTGTATCACTTTCAGCACATGCACTTCAATGTTATTTTTTTGGCACTGAATCATCACAGTCTAAGCGGCATCAGCTGTCTACCAACAAAGAGACATGGTTTCTGCGCCGTGTTACTGATATCACGCTCAGTCAAAGCCCTGTTGTCATATTAGACACTTCCTGACGGCTTCCTTAGTGGTTCCTGCTGCGTGCCCTTGGCTGGCCTCCTCCTCATATTAGTGTAATTACTCTGATCTCCTTCAGCATGACCGCGTTCTCCTTTATATCACTGCTGACTGTAGTGTGTGCTTCTATCTGGGGCACTTATACCCACACTGCGGCTTGTAGCGGTTAGCCGCGCTAGCATCCCCCATCAATCACATTAAAGTGGCAGGGCAGCCCCCTCGCACCATTCATCATAAAGATTCGGCTGTGTGGAGCAAGAGGAAAGATCGTGGGACAGGAACGTTGCAGAGGAGAGTCGAGTTATTACTCTGGGTTTGTGGGCAAACACTGATCTACCACACACACACACACACGTGTAAAAATCACATCAGACTCTGCAGCAGTTGGTTGGGCATTATGACATACATTTATTATGGCTCTAGATAGTAGTGGGGAAATATATACATTAATTTTAACTATGAATTCATGAAGCATATACAGTTATTGATGCATTATACTGATCTACATGTTTACAGGAGTAATGATGCCTAAGATAGAATCTGAACTGCAATAGAACTGCTGATGTGCTCCTTGTCATGCTCACCAAGGCTGCATTTGTTTGATGAAAGATATAGTAACAACAGTAATATTAATGTAAAATAAATGTTTTCTATTTTAATATATTTTAAAATGTAATTTATTCCAGTTTAGCCATTATTAAATCCAATTGTTTTATGTCAGTCAGTTTTTATTTGTCTTATCATTAAGATGACAAATGTTCTTTTAATATCTAATCAAAATTTGACACCACTATACTAAATATGCTCATTACATATTCATGAAATTACTCGGCCTTATCAAAATGCATGCTCAGTGCATTTAATAGACAAAATGATGGTTTTAGCTGTAGAATAAAAATGCCTTGAAACGTCTATGTAGGTTTCCAAGTTAAAATACCAGTTTATACCAGCAATAATGTCTATCCTGATCCAGGCTGAATTATGCTGGTTTGGTTCTGGTTGAGCTGTTAAACCAGACTAACTGGTCTACACATCACAAGCTGGTGACTAGCTAGAGTAGCAAGGAATCAAATGTTGTAAAACTAGAAGATCATTTAGAGAAATAAATTGTAAAGCGCCTGAAGTATCTGACATACAGATATATAGAATAACTCAACGGGTTGTTAATATCAGGTCAGGTGCTGAATGTGTTGACTAAAGCTTTATTTTTTCATCAGAAAGAGCTTGTTAATGGATCAATGTCGAGCAGCATGGAGAGACTCTCTATTAAAGTTCAATTAGCCGCATTTAAAGGGATAGTTCACTCAAAAATGAAAATTAGCCCATGATTTACTCACCCTCAAGCCATCCTAGGTGTATATGACTTTCTTCTTTCAGACGAATCCAATCGGAGTAATATTACAAAAATGTTCTGGCTCTTCTAAGTGTTATAATGGCAGTCGGTGGGTGTTTCTCTTCAACAGTCCAAAAGAAGTCCAATAAAGCGCATCCATCCATAATAAAATGTGCGTCACACGGCTCCGGGAGGGGGGGGGGTGAATAAAGGCCTCCTGTAGCGAATCAATGCGCTTTTGTAAGAAAAATATCCATAATTAAAAATGTAACAAACAGTTTTGTGTAACGGATGTTCCGGACATCCTCTTGGCTTATATCGAAACCCTCTGACATTTTTATTTTGTTCGTTTCGTTTCATTCATGACCGGTGTTTTGTTCTGTTCTCTCCTCTGAGCTTTCTGCGTACGACAGTTAGCGGAAGTTACACAAAACTGTTTGTTATGTTTTTAAGAGTATGGATATTTTTCTGACAAAAACGCATCGATTCGCTACAGGAGGCCTTTATTCACTCCCCGGAGTCGTGTGAGACACTTTTTTTATGGATGGGCGCTTTTTATTTAACTTATTTTGGACTGATGCATGCAACACCCGCTGAGTGCCATTAAACAGCTTGAAAGATCAAAGACCATTTT